AAAAGGACTGATTTTTCACTTCTGTGATTAATTCCTATACATGCAGATGTAAATTCCCTAGAAATGCCGCATCTGTTTGTAAATAGGGCAAACTATAAAATATCCAACTGTGCAACTCCCTCACATATTTGTTTCCTGTGTTATGCATGTTAAATGTATATGTTGTTAATTATATAGATGTGCTATTTGGAAAATAAATACGGAAGAAAAACTTTGGCTAGCGTAAATTTATTTACTTGAAGTAACAGACTGAATTTCTAATGTTCTTTGAAATAGAATTTGTGTTTCTGCACAAATTGTTTTGTGGGTTCTCATTATTACTGATGGTCACTGAGCCAGAGTGATTATCAGAGTCAGAGTACAATTCTTATAGGGGGAAACACAAAGAATAAACTGATATGTAGGCAGCTGTTGAGTTTTGTTTCAAGATAATAATTGATGATAGTTTTTGAGAAAGACAAAACTGAGCTTTTCAATAAAGGAACAAATTGTGACTGTTGTTGTTGTTGTTATGTGCTGTCGAGTCGCTTGCGACTCATAGCAACCTGATTTACAACAGCCCTAAACTCTGCTCCGTCCTGTGCCAATCGCACTGTCTCTGGCACTCCCATCCCAATTAACGTTTTCAAACTCATGAGGCTTTAACCTTGTCCTAGCTGCTGCTAAGAGTGATTATGGAGTCAAGCAAGCGGAAATTGTTAACAATATCAATCTCTTCTCCATCTATCATGGTGCTATCATTGTCCAGTGGCAAGAATCTTTGTCTTCTTGATGTTGAACTTCATACAGTCCTTAACCTTCTGTAGCATATGTTTCAGGTCCTCCTCAGTTTCAGCAAATAAGTTTGTGTCATCTGTATAAAACAAATTGTTGATCAGTCATCCTCCAATCCTGGTGCCACATTTCTCCTTATAAAACCCAGCCTCCTGAGTGATCTGCTCCATATACGATTGAAAAGGTTCAGAGACAGGTCATATCCCTGATGCCCTCCTCTCTCGATTCTGAACCATGCAGTGTTTCCCTGCTCTGTTGTGAGGATGACTGCTTGGTCCAAGTATAGGCTTTGATGAGCACAATCAAGTGTTCTGGGATTCTTATTCTCCTAAAGGTTAGCCACAATTTGTGATCCACACAGTCAAATGCCTTTGCATAGCCAATTAAACATAGTTTGACATTCCTCTGGTACTCTTTGCTTTCAGTCAAGATTCATCTCATATTGGCAATGCCTGTATTGCCACAGCCTCCTCTAAAATCTGCTTGTTTTTCTGGTAGTTCTTTGTTGATGTAGTGTTCCAGTCATTTCTGGGCAATCTTGAGCAGAAATTTGCTTGCATATGTTATTAGTGATACTATTTGGTAATTTTCACATTCTGTCCAGTCATCTTTTTGTGGAACGGGAATAAATATGGATATATTCCAATCAGTTGGCTATGTAATACTCCTCCAGATTTCTTGGCACAACCTAGTGAGCACACCCAGCATCTGTTTGTTGAAATATATCAATTGGTATGCTGTCAATTCCTTCATCCCCATTGTCTATTGATCATATGTAATTTAATGAAATTCTTCTGTGTCAGCCAGTTCTTTTTGGTACAATGGCTCTATGTACCCCTTCCATCTTTTTTAATGCTCCACGGATCATACAGTATTGTGCCCATGTTGTTGTGTTATTGTTATGTACCATCAAGGTGCTTGTGACTCATAGCGACCCTATGTAAATCAGCCCTAAACCCTGCTCTATCCGGTGTCAACCTTATTGTCTCTGACACATCTACACCCATTACCTTAGTCACTGAATCAATCCATCTCATCGAGGGTCTTCCTCTCTTGCACTGTCCCTACTTCCTCCCAAGCATGATGTCCCTCTCCAAGGACTGGTCCCTTCTTACAATATGCCTAAAATGTATCAGAGGAAGCTTCAGAATCCTTGCCTCCAAGGAGCAGCCTGGTCCTACTCTCTCTAGGATGAACATGTTTGTTCTCCTAGCAGTCCATGGTATATTCAATACTCTTCTCCAGAACCACAACTCAATGGCATTCTCTATCATCCCCAGTCATTGTCCAGATTTTGGACACATAACAAGTAATTGTAAAGACTATAGCTTGGATCAGACACACTTTAGTTTCCAGACTGACATCACTGCTCTTCAGAACTTTCAAGACGTCCCTGATAGCACTCTTTCCCCAATGCAATGCCTTTTAAATTTCTGCCTGCTGGTACCAAGAGTGTTGATTGAGAAGCCAAGAAAATTGAAGCTGTTAACACTGTGTCCATGGCATCCTTAAAATCTGCAATTCAAAGCTTGAATTTGTTCTTCAGTTATGTCAACTTAAGAAATGTCAAGTGTGTTCAGCCCTTTTGATTTTGACTCCAGCTCTTTACACCTTTCATTAAAATACTTTGCTTTGTCTTCCCAAATTGTTCTTTGAAATCTTCTATTCAGTTCCTTAACTTCCTGCTTTCCTCCCTTTACTTTTGCTTCTAGGCACTCTAGTGCAATATTTCAGAGTCTATTCTGACATCTATTTCAGTCTTTTCTTCCTCCTCTGTCTTTGCAATGACTTTTCCCATTCTTTATGGATGATGTACTTGATATCTTCGCACAACTCACCTTTTGTTGTTCATTAGTATTCAAGGCCCAAATCTATTCCTGAGATGGCTTTTAAATTGAGATTGGATAGAGTCGAAGTAAAATTTGAGTGCCTTAATGTCTGCTGTTGCAGATATTGATGGCCAATCCTTCTTCCTAGTCTGTCTTAATTTGAATGCTCAGCTTTAGATCAGTATCTGACAAACATTCTACTGAAAGAAGCAGATGAAGGACACTTTGCCATTATAGAAGTAAACAGTGGATTCAGTGTTGGTCACCTTTCTGTAAGGGTAAGTCCCATTCCTTTCCATGCTCCACCAGCATCCCCTTCCACTCCTGCCTACCCTGCTCAGCACCACCCTCTCTTGAGCCAACTTTCACTGTGATGGCTCAGGCCTCAAGTTGCTTTTGTGATGTACCTCATGTTGCTGCTCGTCTCTCCAGTCTTTCATGAATCTAGGAAGGTCTAAGTCCAAATCCCATGCATCAGCTTTAAGAAAGGATTTCTGTTTGAGACAGTAATGGGAGCAGTTCTTGCCCTTCATCTTCTGTTCCAGAACTGTCAACTTGTGAGCTAGTGTTTCTTCTCTTTCGTTTGCAGCACACTGCTCTCACAGTACAATGATTACTCAGGTGATGGTGGTATCTCTTTTGTGAAAACATGTATTTTGAAATTTTAAAAAACTCTTATGTTCTATGCAACATACAAACTGAATATATAAACATGGCTTTTCCTACTTAAGTGGTTGATTAACTCTCAATAAAAATACATAGCTTATTGAATTTGCCAGGGTAAATTGTAATTATTCTAGTTTACTATAAATAAAAAATTAAGAAAAATGTCAACATAAATAATTTTATATGTAGTCTCTTTAACTTTTAAAAATACATAAAAATAGAAACCATAATTTTGACAATAAGTATTACATATTAAATAGTATTAATATTATAAATATTATAAAATGAGTGGCATCCACTTCCTAAATAACATGCCTCGAGAAACTCCATGAACTTTGATAAATGTCGATAGTTGTAGAGGGACTTCAGGGCTTTTGCTCATAGGGTTGCTATGAGTCGTGCTGACTAGAAGGCAATCAACAACAATTTAATTTTTCAAATATTATTAAAGTATATAAATATAATGGTATATGCATATCTATTGTTAAATCATCAAGGCTTAAATAATATAGTGAATATATTCTCTCCAACATAGTTGGCAAGAGAGTTGAGTAATGCTGACATGTTGCTGTTGATGCTCTGCGCTGCCGAATCAAAACTGAGTCAATTGATTTTCAATAGATAAAATAATTAATGAAAAGTATTGAGGGAAGTAACCCTTTTTATGGACAATCTGGTCAAAACAGAATGATCTAAATGTTATTTCCATGATAATTTTTCCACTGGTTATCATTCTCATATAATCTTGCTTTATAAATAAAGTCAAAGGAGAATAAAATACAGAAATAACACATTCAGACTTAAAATATAAAATGTTACCTACAATATTAACGAAGGAAATTACAGGATACCTTCACATCTTCTATAGAAAAAAAATGTGTAAGTCTTAAATATTTACACCAATTTATTTCAGAAAACGCACAGCTTTACTTTTAATTTCAGCCTGATTTTATTGTTGCTATGCGCCATGAAGGTGACTATGACTCATAACAACCCTCTGGATAAAAAATCTGAAACAAAACATCTGAACCTGGTCGTATCCTGTGCCATCCTCACCATCTCTGATACAGTTAAGCTTATTGTTATAACCACTGTGTCAATCCATCTTGTTGAAGGGTTTCCTCTGCTACACTGACCCTCTGCCTTTCCAATGATAATGTCCTTTGCCAAGGACTGGCCATTCCTAACAACATGCCCAAAGTATGCAAGACGGCGCTTCACCATCCTGTTTCCTAAGAGCACCATATTCTAATTTCTTCAAGTTACCCTTGTTTGTTCTTTTGTTAGTCCATGGGATATGCAGTATTCTTCTATAACACCACAAGACAAAGGCACCAATTATTCTTCTATAATCCTTTGTAGCCTATTTTCAGTTGAATATTTTAGACAATAATTTAAGACAATATGTTCTCTTATGCATGGGTGTTCAGTAACTTCTGACTTATAGCTTAGTGTAATTTCATCATTACTACTAAAATAAAACAACTCATCGTATATTTCTTGCTGACAATGGATCAACATGACCATGGCAGATGCAAAAAGTAGTATGTTATATAATTTTAATGTTATCCTTATTCAAGACAAGAAACAAGTGCTAACTTTGAAAATACCATCTATTTAAATAATGACATCCAAGAAATCAGTTATTTGGGTGAAAACAGATAGGGTTTTGGTTTGGTTTTATTGAAGATAATTAAGCCTAGGAAATAAAGCTATTATCTGAGTGCAATACTAATACCTTTTCTTCTTCTTATACTTTTGGAACTTTTGGATATATTCATTTCCTATATTGTTTTCTGTGCTACTATCACTATCACTGGTCTGTTTTTGCCTCTTTCGCTTATTCATCTGGTAAGGGTCAGAGTCATTTTGTTGTTGGTGTGTCCATTCGTAAGAACTGGGTCCTGCTTCCAACTCTGTAACAGGGTTTAGCGAAGACAAGGATGTGTTATTAGGAAGTGGCACTGTCATCTCATAGTAGGGAAGCTGAAGCATTGGATTATATGCATTCCACTGCTGTAGAGAAAAAGAAAAACACATTCAACTCCAAAGAGAAGTTTATAAACTAAAGTTAACATTTTACATGCATCTTATAAATAAGTCTCAGTAAATCAAACCACCTGTTGGTACAAAAAGGACAGTACTTTGTACAGTAGGGCTTTGGTAGTTTCCTTAAATGGCTGACAGTGTCACGGTAGTATTTATTTTATTTACATGGTAGAGGTCAGCACTGTCTTTTGATGTGAAAACAAGTGAGTTTAATACACACACACACACACACACACACACACACACACACACACACACATATGACACCATCTTGTTAGTTGCCATGAAGTCAATTATCAATATAGGGAAAATAAACAGATGAAACTGTTTCATCTATTCAGATACATTCAAAACGATGTCAACATATTGTTAGTGTTGTGCACCACTGAGTCAGAACAAACTCATAATTGACCCTCCAGCAAGTATTCAGAGGTAGTAAATAGCATGGGAAGAGATTACACATTTTTCTCCCGTGAAGCAGCTGGAACACCAACATGCTGTCAATGTAAAAATTAATCTTTTTTTATTGTGTATTAAATATAGTATGTATTTTATCCTCATGTTGTTGTGGTGGTTGATTGCCGATGAGTTGAGCACAATTAACAGTGACCCTATGAACAAAAGGCCTGAAGCCTTTCTATAACTATTATCATTTATCAAAGTTCATAGAAGTGGATGCCACTCCTCATAGATTACCTCAATTTTACTGAAAATACTTGATTTGAATTTAGATTTCACAAAATTTACAGATGAAAAAGTCAACTGATTTATCCAAGTTATTTTAAATATTACATACAATCTGGATTACTTGTAAAAATTACATGCAATGAATCAAAATACCTGGCTTTCCATACATGCCACTACCAGGCTGTGCTATTCTGGTTGCATTAATTAAAATCCTTCTTTTTCATTTTTTAAAAATTAGAGAAATTGGAAAAATACTAAATTCTCCTTTAAAAATAGATTGTAATTAAGATTTCTAATCTACAACTGTATCTTGGAAACTCTGTGAAAATAATGTGGTTTTTCTATCATCTGAGAAGTTTTGTTTTGGCTTGCTTTTAGTTAAAACCTAAAAGTTTATTTAAGAAGCCACATCTAATGTAATATTTTTGTGATTGATAACTATGTTACATAAAAATGCTCTACTGGCCTGAAGAATTCCTCAGCTGAAAGGCTGGAAAAGGTATTGCATTCATAGTTAAAAAGACAATTTCAAATTCTATCCTGAAATACAATGATGTGAGTGATAGGATATTATACATATGCATACAAAAAACCCTATTAATTTGACTATTATTTCAATATATGCACCAATAACTAAATAAGCAGAAAGTGGGGTTTTTATTAAATTTTGTAGGCAGAAATGGAACAAACATGGAATCAAAGTGCATTAATAACTGGTGATTGGGATGCACAAGTTGGAAACAAAGAATAAGGAAGAGTAGTCAGAAAGTATGGATACAGTGACAGAAACAAGGCTGGAAATAGAATGACTGTATATTCTATTTTCAATAATTTTTTCATTATAAATACCCCTTTAAAAAACACAAATGATGACTTTACACATGTACTTCACCAGATGGACGAAAAGGAATCAGACTGAGTACATCTGTGGGGAAAAAATGTTGCAGAAGCTCAATATCAGCAGTTAAACCATGCCAGGTTCTAGTGTGGAACAGATTATCAATTACTCACGGGAAAGTTCAAATTGATGCTGAAGAAAATTAAAACAAGTCACAAGAACCAAAATATAATCCAGAATATATCCCACCTGAATTTAAATATCATTAAGAATAGGCTTGAAGCACTGAACACCAGTGATCAGATAACACCAGTGACCAGATAACTTGTGGGATAAAATTAAGGATATTATCTATCAAGAGAGCAAAAGGTCATTGCAAAAACAGAAGGGGGGGGATAAAATGGATGTCAAAAGAGACCCTGAAAACTGCACTACAGCACTGAGAAGACAAAACAAAGGGAAGAGATGCTGAAATAAAAGAGCTGAGCAGAAGATTTCAAAAGGCAACCTAGGAACACAAAGCAAACTAATGGAATGTGCGGAGACCTAGGCAGAACTGGAGAATAAAAAGAGGAATTTGTTTAGCATTTCTCAAGTTGAAATAACTAAAAAAAAAAAATTAAAAAAATTTATGCCTCGAGTTCTAATATTTAGGGATGTTGGGGGCAAAATTTTTAATGATTCAGGGTACATAAAAAGAAGCTGAAGGGAATACAAAGAATCACTGTACCAAACAGAACTGGCTAAGACTGTAATATTTCAGGAAGTACCATATGATCAAGAGCCAAGAGTTATGAAGGAAGAAGTTCAAACTGCATTTGAGACATGGCCAAAAAAAAAGGCCCTCAGAATCAATAAGAGACCAAATGCTATGTTTCAAATGAAAGATGAATCCCTGGACATGCTCACCAGTCTATGCCATGAAATTTGGAGGACAGCTGTCTGGTCAACTGATTGGAAGAGTTTCTTGTCAGTTCCCATTCCCAAGAAAGGTGTTCCAACAGACTGGAAATTATTAAACAGTATTAATATCACAAGAAACCAATATACTGCTGAAGATCATTTAAAAATTGCTAGAAAAGTACATAGGCAACTGGCAGATATTCAAGCTGAATTCAGAAGAGGCTGTAGCACCAGGGATATTATCTCTGATGACAGATGGATTCTGCTTGAAAGCAAAGAATAACAGAGGAATGTCTATTTGTGCCTTATTGACTATGAAAAGTCATTTAATTGTGGAGCATAACAAGTTATGATTAATACTGAGAAGAATGAGAATTCCAGAAAATTGTGCTTTTGTAACACTCATACCTAGACCAAGAGGCATGCAAACAGAGCAAGGGGACACTATATGGTTTTAAGTTAGAAATAGTGTGCAAAATTGTTGTATCTTTTCTCCATACCTATCTAATCTGTATGGAGCAAATTATTCAAGAAGCTTGACTCTATGAAGTAGACTATGACAACAGGATGATTGGAGGAAGATTCATCAATAACCTTTGCTATGCAGATGCAAACTAGCTTGCTACAAATGAAAAGGATTGAAGCACTTGCTGCAGAAGGTTAATTACTGCAGCCTTGTATATAGATAGCATCTCAATGTTAAGAAAATAAAAATTCTAATGATTGGATTGATAGGCAATATCATAATAGATGAAGAAAAATTGAAACTGTAGCCAATTTCATCTTAATTGGATCCATAATCAATACACTTGGTTCAACCAATCAGGTGATTAGGAGATGTATTGCACTTGGAAAGTCTATAGTCAAGGACCTCTCCAAATTATTGAGGAGCACTGGTGACAGTTTGGGGACTAAAGGGTGCCTTATTCTGTCCATGTTTTTTTCATTTACTTGCTACGCTTGACAGCTGAACAATAAACAAGGATGACATAAGAAGAATTGATGCCTTTGAACTGTGGTGTTAAGAGAAGAGTATGGAACACCCCATGGATGGCCAAAAGAACAAATAGGTATGTCTTGGGCAGCCAGAGTGCTTCTTGAAGTCAAAGATGATGAAGTGTCATTTCACATACTTTGTGCATATCGCTAGGAGAGAATATACCTTGGAGAGGAACATCATGATTGGAAAGGTAGACAAAAAAGTGGAAGAACCTCAACCAGGTGTATTGACACCATGACTGACTGCAGCCATGGGCTTGAGGGTGTCAGAGATTCTGAGGATGGCACAAGATAGAACAGAGTTTAGATCTGTTGTTCACAGGATCACTATGAGTGATATTTGGCTCAATAGCACCTAAAAACAGCAGCTAGACGTATTCTATAGAGCTAACTACTATTGCAAGCACTCTTGAATAGATTGCAGTAAAAACTCTCAGACAGAGTAGGGAAAAAATGTGGTACACAACTCAAAAACATAAAAATGGCCAGGCTAGGATTACATTTGACTGAGAGACTGGTAGAACACTAGAGACTATGGCCCTTAGCCACCCTTCAACCAATGAACAAAACTCACCCCCCTGGCTCAAGTTTCAGTCAAACAATAGATACGCCTCTAATGGAACAATAACATCATGGAGACAGCCCCTCCCTAGAACAATCAACCAAAGAAGCTCAAAAAAGGGCATCAGCTCAGGGGTAGAATTCAGAATATAAAAAGAAAAAAATGGAAGGATTAATAATGCAAGAATCACTGGGAGAAAGCAGGACATATATTAAACCATGGTGTTATTAATGTTGTAAAACAATGGCTCACTGAAAACCAATTTTCTTTGTAAACAAGTTCAAATCACAGTATTTTTAAAAAAAGAAAATAAATGCTTTATTAAATAAAATTATTGAATTTTTCCAAATATTTTTCAAAGTAATCAAGTCTTTTTGAAGATTTTATTTGGGTGAGAGATTTAATGCATCATCTCCACAAACTGTCCCTTTTTTAGGGACACACAGTATGCTGAGGGACTTTGTATAGGACTCAAGATGTCAAAGAAAGGAACCTTAAAACAATAGACAAGGCCTGCTTTGTAGTACTTGCTGATTTGTATATTGTTTTGATTTACATAAGAAAATGCTCAAGAAAATGCTAACAATAAATATTAATCTTTAAAAGTGTGTTGTGCCTATAGCCATTAAATTGCTATTAGCATAAGACATTGAAGAAATATTCTTCCACTACTGAAAAAACAAAAACAAACAAACTGCACCCATCACTCAAAAACCTTCTGGGTGAAAAATGGATTGCTTGGACTTGAAAAGAAAAATACTACTTCATCTTTATTTGTATATATATACACACACACATATATAGACACACATACATAAACATACATACATATGCATATATAAAAGGGAACCTTAAGATACTAACTGAAAGGTCAGCAGTCTGAATCCACAAGCTGCTGCACAGGAAAAAGATGTTCAGTGTCCTCAGATAAAGAATCACATCCTTGGCAATGTGGTGGAAGGCTTCTCCAAGTCAGAACTAACTAGATTGCAGTGATTTTGGTTTGAAGAAGTTTATCATTGTCAAGGGTGCTCAGGGCAGCTTTTGTCTTTAGCCTATGTTTATATTTGAGAACAAACTGTTTCAAATAATTCTGATGTTCTTCATAGTTTGTTACCACATTATATTGAATCAAATGCATATCAAACTTACCATTTTCGGAGGGAATAAATATTCTTGAGGTAAAACCACATTATTAGTTGAAATGAACTGTGTGGGAACTGAAGATCTGCCCACAACTTCTTCATTTCTTTGGGAAGATAAAAGAAGAAACAGTAAGTAGCTGGAACTCCTACATGCAATGTTCTTAGTTCTAAAAACAAAACAAACCCAGAGATAGCACATACTGATCTCAAAAACAACAAAATAAAACCTTACCCAACAACTCTGCTACAGTACAGATACAACTAATTAAAAGTTTAAATACTCACTTATGTACAATTAGATATTATACTGATAAGGTAGTTATATAGCAATACCTTAAGTCTTATGTACTAAATTTTATAATCTCAAAATTTGTTTTCCAACATGGAAAAGTAAAAACAAATGGAATAAATGATGAAGTAAGAGAGCTGAAGAGAAACTATAAAAGGGTAGCTTGAAAAGACAAAGTATTAATATGAAAAGTGGAAAAGATCTGGAGTTAGAAAACTAAGAGGAAAAACATTTCTAAAGGTAAAAGCAATTAACAAATTTCACATCTCAAGATTCAATAATGAAGGATAATATGGAAAAAATAATAAATGGTGCTTATAGGAAGCATTAAAAGATGATCAAAGTCACTTTACCAAAAATAATTTGTTGACATGGAAACATTTCTGGAAAGTAATAAAAGCTGTGTTGCTTTGGGTAAATCTGCTGACAAGGACCTTATTAGAGTGGTCAAGAACAAGGATGCATGTATAAAGACTAATGTGCACCTGAACTATCAATCATAATTTCAGTTTCTCTGGATGGATGTTAAAGTTGAACAATGAATTAAGAAGATCAATAAAGACTCAAAGTGTCTGAATTTGGGTGTTGGCAAAGAGGACAAGTTATTTCATGGATTGCTAAAAAGACCAACAAATTGGTCTTGGAGGAAGGGCAATAATGGTGCTCGTTAAGAGGCAAGGATGATGAAACTTCATCCCACTTACTTTTGGCATGTTGTTAAGTGAAGCCAGTCCTTTAAAAACACGTTATTCTGATTCACGACTGACAAAGTGACTGTAATGATGGGCACAAGCATGGTAGAGACAGGAAGGTACAGTCTAGGGCAAAGTTTTGATCTGTTGTTCATAGAGTAGCTACGACTCAAAGAACAACTGCATCGGGTTTATGAAGGCCTGCAAGAGCATTTCATGAAACAACTTATGTTCAAGAGGTAACGGTAATGAAGGAGGAAGTTCAAGCTCTAGGAATTGATGCACATAGGGTCACTATGAGTCATATTCGACTCAAAAGCACCTAACCACAACAGGAATTGGTGAAGTATCAAATGACATATTTTGACAACATATGCCAACTCTGGAAGGAAGTGCTCAGAAGGCTGTGCCAAGAAATCTGGAGGACAACCACCTGGAAGATATCTATATTTGTCCCCATTCTAAAGAAAGGTGACCCAACAGAGTGTGGAAATTATTGAACAATATCAATATCAAAGGCAAGCAAGAATTTGCTGAAAATTATCCCCAAACAACACATCAACAGAGAAATACAGCCAGATTTAGAAGAGTCTGTGGCACTAGAGACATGTCTACCAATGTCAGATGGATCTTGGCCAAAAGCAGAAGAGTACCAGAGGAATGTCTATCTCTGTTTTATCTTTTAAAAGGCATTTGACTGTGTGAATAGCAACAAACTGTGGCTAACCTTGAGAAGACTGGAAATCTCATAACACCTGATTGTATTCATGTGAAACCTACCTGGAGGTGGTTTTCAGAACAGAGCAAAGAAAAACTGGATGGTTGAAAATCAGAAAAGGAGAGCTTCAGGGATGTGTCCTCTCCATAAGTTTTCAATTTGTATGCAGAACAGATCATTCAAGATGACAGACTTTATGAGGAGGAATGTGGCATCAGGATAGGAGGAGGTCTCATCAACCACCTGTGTTATAGAGAGGACACAACCTGACTTGCTGAAATGGAAGAGGGACTGTAGCATTAGCTGCAGAGGGTCAAGGGCTGTGGTGTGCAATACAGATTAAAGCTCAACATTAAGAAAACAAAGATTCTCACCACAGGGCCAACTAGTATTTTAAATTTAAAATACTATTTTAAATATTCATGATAAAGAAGAGATTGAGATTAACAATTTCAGCTTATTTGGTTCCACTATCACCACTCCTGGCACCAGCAAACAGGAAATGAAATGATGAATTGCACTGGGAAAATCTGCTCTCAGGGACCTCTTCAGAGTGCTGAAGAGCAAGGATGTTTGTCTAGGGACTAAGGTCCACCTAATTCAGCACACAGTCTTAGCAATTACTTGCTATGCATCAGACAGCTGGACAATGACCAAGGATGACAAAACTAATGCCTTTGAGTTGTGGTGCTGGAGAGCAGGATTGAACATACTATGCGCTGCATTAGGCATGCATCCTGTCTCATACTTTTCAATCCATATGTGGAACAGATCATTCAGGTGGCTGGCATTTATGAGGAGGAATGTGGCATCAGAATTGGAGGAATACTTATCAACAAACTGCATTATGGAGATGATACAACTTTGTTCTCTGAATGTGAAAAGTACCAGAAGTGTCTGCTGCAGAAGGTCAAGGACTGTAGTCCTCAATACAGATTAAGACTCAACATCAAGGGGACAGTGATTCTTACCACTAAGCCAACTGACAGCACCATGACAGATGGAGAAGAGATTGAGATTGTTAACAATTTTAGTTTGTTCGGATCCACTATCAACACTCTTGGAATCAGCAGCAAGGACATAAAAACTGGATTAGGAAAGTCTACTGTTAGGGACCTTTCCAGAATGCCTAAGAGCAAAGATATCTCTAGAGACATGTGCGCCTGTTCCAGACCATGGTCTCTGCAATTATTTGATATACATCAAAGAGCTAGGCAATGAATACGGATGACAGCAGAAGAATTGAAGCCTTTGAGTTGTGGTGCTAGAGAAACTTACTGAACATGCCGTGGACTGCCAAGAGAACAAACAATCTGTCCTGCAGAGGGTGAAACCAAGTTGATCTCTGGATGTAAGAATTTTCAAGGTCTGTCTCACATACTTTTGGCATACTGTCAAAAAGGACATCATGCTTAGAAAGGCAGAAGTACAATGCAGGAGAGGTGATCCCGGATGAGATGAGTTGACACAGTGACAGGGGTAATGAGGATAGGTGTGCTGGAGACAGTATGATTGGCTCAGGATAGGACAGAGTTCAGAGATACTGTGCATAGGATCACTATGAGTCACAAGTGACTCGATGGTGCATAACAATAACAATACTAAGGGAGGAAGGTAGCATAATAGTAAGGAATTTTGCTGCCAATGCAAAGGAACACTGTGAATCTGCCAGCTGCTCTGCAGGGAAAAGATAGGAAATCTCTTGTGCAATATAGTGCCCCTGAAAACTCTCTTGAGGGTCAGCTATAGATCAGTCCAACTTGTCAGAATACAAAAACAACACTAATAAAGGCGGGGGAGAGACGTCCTTCACATCCTATAAAGCCAGGTGAAGCTCATCTTTCATGCTTATCTCAATTCATAAATAACTCCATGACTATTCACCTAAGCATGCGTACCAGTACCAGCCAACTATACTCGAGAGTTTTCCCCAATATTTGTTTAATACTCTCCAAGTTCCTAGGACTTTAATTTTTAGATATTACAGATTAGATAGGCATAGAGATAAGTGATCCACTATCACAGGTCATAATAAAGGGGGAAAGATTCAAGTTCAGGCCAACTGATTTCAGTATTTTTCTTTTTTAACTTCTCTTGATTTCACTGCAGGGAATCAAGCTGTGAAACATGCAGTATATCATTTCAGGAGCAATACTTCTTCCATAAAGATAAGCCCAGGCATTTGTCAGTCACAACTTGTCATCCTAGGTCACTTTCCCTAGCCTTAAAGGAACTATAGGATTGACAAGGAAGGGAACTTCAGCTGTACTGTTAGTTTGATAATATTCAGTTATGCTCTAGAAGATAAGAAAGCCACCCAAGGTATCTGAAACACAAAAGAAATGCTATTACATTCAGAGTCTAAGCCAGCAGTTCATGAAAGCAATTTTTGTGTCAGGGATTCAAAGGTAACTTTTAAGACCTAAGTAGAACTCATGTGTTAAAGAGAATAATAAAGAAGTTAGCACACTGAAAAAAAGAACAACATGCCAAAGACAGAATACTTTGAAAATACAGTAAGACACTACAGAATTTACTTCTAGGGAGACAGAGATGAAAAGATCACATTATCATCACGTGGTGCTGATATTTTTGCTTCCTGTTCTTTGCTCTGCCTGAGAAACTCAGATAAAATCAATGGAGTCTAGCTGATAGACAAGCTAATTCTGTGGCCAAATGTATTTGTCCTTTTATCTACTTGGGAGTGACAGAAGATCCCGGAACTTTCTGTCTGATTGGATATTTGTGCTCAAACTTTAAATAAGGTCCTCAGAGCCACACTATCAGCAAGCAGGACAGGCTCATACAGAATTCACAGTGTGTGCGAATAATAACATAAGGACTAAAGGACTGTGGTCCTCTCGCCCACATGTACCTTAAGTACACTAAACTGTCCTCAATCCTTAATTCTTCTTTTTCACTAAACAACTTATATTGCCTTACTTAATGGTGTCACTCAAGTATCTCAATTTGTGAACATTCCTCCACCATGACTTTTAGACTAGTTCTAAAAGTGTTGAGTGTGTTCTTGGAAGCGGTTGTTGCATCAAGAAATCAGTCATATAAAGTATTATTAGCATTTTATTCTTACAAATAGTGAAATAAATAAATAGGTTCATCTCAGAAGTTGGAAGCAGGAGTGGCATCTAATTCTTAAATAACATGCCTCTGGAAACTCTATGAACTTTGATAAATGTCAACAGTTGTAGAGGGGCTTCAGGCCTTTTTATTCATAGGGTCGCTATGAGTTGCGCTTGACTCAAAGGCAATCAACACGTACACACATGTACACACCCACTCCACCCCAATCTCAAGACTCGTTTCAAGGCTAGTACTATTATTTGTACCCTGGGATATGGTACACTTGTGCTTCTCTAATTCTTTAAATGTAAAATGTATATAGCGTTATTTACTTAATCTATCTCAACAAGTGTCTCAATGATTTTAAAACTATGAAGCCATGAAAAATGGTCAAGAAATCAGAGCAGGCAATATGCTAATCCCTATGAGTTATTGCTGAAAATATGAAGATAAAATAGAAATAAGATATATTTTCTATCACTATTTATGGTTTCAGAAAAAATGTCATTTACTCTTATTTCTAAATAGCAAGGTTTTAGAATAGTCCAGAATACATAAATAGATCCTCCTGATATAAGAACATATTTATCATTTGCTTAATTTTGGTGAAAAATATTTTTAATTACCTGTAACTATATGAATTTATCTTAACACAGCTCTCAAAACTTTGACTAGCTGGTTCAGAAGAGCGAGAACTCCCTGGGGAAAAGTGGGGGGGTAGGGGAGTAATAAAAAAAAAACAGATTATTTCTTCCTTGTACAATACTTTCATAGAGTTTCAATATTAAATCACAAACCACCCTAAACTCAAAAGGGGCTGGTATTTATCTCAAGTGCCACTGTATAAATAACTTAAATATCTTAAAATGCCATCTTTATGTAATTCACACTCACACGTGTGTGTATATACATATACACACACATATAAAATTTTCTCAAATAGACAACTTAAAACGAAATCCTCATATAAGATATATGCATATTTATTTGATCTCTCAGCTGATTATTACTCTAAATGAACAAATTAAAATCAAGCTTTGTCTAAAACAATGACAGTATACAAAAATTATGTCAGCATAGGTTCATAAAAGATACATGTACTGTTTTGTTCCATGTATCACTAAAATAAAAATAGAAAATTATGTCTTGTTTCTAGAATGGAAGGCATGAGTTTTCTAAACCACACAGACTAAAAAGTCAATGAAATTTTATACAGGATGTTTAGCAGCTGGCTAAGGATTCTTTTGCACATAGCCTGCACTGGTCCATTCTGGGAGTCTGTACATGTTAACAGAACAATATTTAATATCATGCTGATGTCAGTTTCTCTGCAAAGACATAAAAACACAAAACAAAACAAACTCAAAAGAGAATGAAGTTTCCTTTATAATAATTCCTCTATAATAATATTTTGTTACTGTTTTAGTTCAGTAGAGATAAAAAACAGAAACAAAAAAAGCCCTTAAATGGATACATCAGTAAGTCTCAAGCCATTTACAGGAAGTGAAATAAATTCTACAAAGTCCACCAGATGGTTTCTATTAATCCTTAGAAATATGGGAACACCATAGAGGGTATTTAATTACATATGATCAGTTACTGATTATATATATATATATATATACACACACACACACACACACACACACACACACACACAGGAAAAGGTAATTTGAGGCCATGCATGTAGCAAATTCGGATTCTTTCTTCACAAGTAAGGATCAATCTACTGCTACCTTTAACTTCACTGCTATTATTCATTGTGTAGACCCAGGACAATATGCAGAGTTTAGATTCCCCAAGAGAAGACTACTGCACTTTATTTTCCAAATAGTAGATAATTCATTCAATATGTTTAAGTGAAAAGGTGATCAGCAATGCCAGGCAAAGAAACAGCTTTTTATAAAACAGTTGGAGTTTGTGTCCCTGTTCCTGTAAAATTTATGTTTCAGTAGCAAACATCATTGCTGATTCTTGGGTGACATTAAAAGAGAACATTTTACCCTTCAATATAGAAAAAGATACTCTATGTTTGGCAATATAATTTTCATTAATTGCATATATTATGCAGTTATAAATAAACAATTATTATAAAAACCTTAAGAGACCACAGGGTAACTTTTTCTGGTGTTGATATAGAAAATGCTTACACTTTTGAGAACAGTAACGGCAAAACACTGTATATAGATTTACATTTCAATGACAATTCAGTGGCAAGACCTACCAAATCGATATTGCACATTTATTGGTCTTCCATATAAACGGATTCCATTTAACAAAGCTATGGAATAAGGCACTGATTCGGGGTGTTTAAAGCAGACAAATCCAAAAGTCTTCGGCTTTCCTTCTCTGTCTTTGCATATAGTCACCTTGGTTAATGGTCCAGCCTATAAGAAACTTAAAAATTATTTTCTCATAAATCCAAAGTTTTTTTAAACTTCAGACTAAAAATAATAAATACATGTGTCAGCAATGTTCTTTTATGTTGCTATTAATAATGTATGTTCACAGCAATGGTTTTCTGGTTTGATTTGTCAAAGAAACACACATACTTTTAGCAATGTAAACCGATAGGTAATTGTTCCAAGTTTTAAAAAGAAAGCTATTTTACTTGTTCTTTTCTTGTTTTTAAAGTAATTTAGAGAGGAAAAAATCTCAGATTAAAATACTTTGTCTCCATATAGATTAAGTGAGTATAAATTAAAAATTAAATTAGCAACACCTATGCTGGTTGAACTACAAGCACAAACCCTTAAAATATTTTTATGTATTTTTCTGTCAGTTAGATTAAAAGCCATTACAAAATAAAGTAAGCTTATCATGTGTTTTGATCTAGTAGTTAACCTATTTTGTAAGTATTCCCAAAGTTAAAAAATGCTTTAATATGCATAGGGAGTCCTGGTGGCGTAGTAGGTTGAGGAGCTGTGGTATCAAGTGAAGAGCACAAGGTTCAAATCTACCAGCTACTCAGTGGGGAAAGATGGGCTGTCTCCTGTGTGATTTACTGCCTCTGAGTATCTTTTGGAAGGGAAGTTATGAGTCAGATTTTTAAGTAAGTATATTCCTTATAAGTAGAAAAATTAGGACAATAAAGGCTGGCAAAGTTGTGGAGAAACTGGAACCCTTATTCACTGGTGTTGAGAGTATAAAATGGTTCAACCACTGTGGAAGGCAGTATGGCGTTTTCTCAAAAAGTTGGAAATAGAAATGCCATTTGACCCAGCAACTCCACTACTTGGGAATACACCCTAAAGAAACCAGAGCTGCCACTCAAACAGTTATATGCACACCAATGTTTACTGCTGTGTTTTTCACAACAGCAGAGAGATGGAAGCAACCCAAGTGCCCATCAAGAAATGAATGGATAGAGAAGTTGTGGTATATTCACACAATGGAATACTACGCAGCACTGAAAAACAAGGAACTAAAAAAATACTGCATATGAGTGACTCTGGAGGAAATTATGCTGAGTGAAATATCTCAGTCACAAAAGGACAAATATTGCATAATGTCACTGATACACAGCAGGACTGACATGGTTGGAGGAAACTCAGAAAAGAGGGAATAAATAATCAACACTGAATTGAAAGAGATGAAGGAAAGAACTGTTTAAAAGAAACATATGATTAGGCATTATTTTAATGATAACAGTCCAAAATAAGAGCTGCAGAGCAAGTACTGGTCCCTCTCAATAACATTACCAAAGTACATGAGACAAACTCTCATCATCTTTGCTCCAAAGGTGTGTTATTTTTAGGAGTCACTGAGTCGAATATGAGTCATAGCAGCCCTAAAAATATCAGATCTGAACCTTTTCATCTGTGTCAGTGCCATCCTCATAATCTCTGACAGACTTAAGCCCACTGCTGCAGCCACTGTGTCAATCCACCTGTTTTAGGGTGTTCCTCTCCTTCGCCATCCCTCCATCTAAGCATGATGTCCCTCTCCAAGGAATAACCCCTCCTAGCAACATTTTCAAAGTATGTAAGATGAAGCTTTCTCATCTTTGCCTTCAATGAGCACTCTGGCTGCACCTTTTCCAAGATATATCTGTTTGTTCTTTTGGCAGTCCATGGGATAGTCAGTATTATTCTCCATCATCACAGTTCAAATGCATCAACTCTTCTTCTATCATTCTTACTCACTGTCCAGCTCTCAGATGCATAGTAAGTGACAGAAAAAACCATGGTCTGAATTAGGTGCATCTTCTAAGGTGTGGTGGGTGGTGGTGGTGTACCATAGTCAGAACAGACTGATCCTCGGGCAGTTGTTCAGAGGCAGTTAATAGCATGGGAGGAGATTGCCCATTCTTCTTCCACAGAGCAGCTGGTGGCCTCGAACCATGGGTCTTAAGGATTGTAACACAGCTCCTTGCCACTAGGCTACCAGCGCTCCCTAAAGTGTAGAGGATACTTAATCCTTGAGGAGAGGTTTTAGAATGCAAAATGTTTCCTAGTATTCCTGGTATAAAATAAAGGGTATCTATTGGTCAAGGATTCAATTAAGCCCAGTCGTGGTCCACTTGCTGCCAGTATCACAAGTCTCACGTATAAAACTGAAGCAAAAGCTACTTTCAACATAAAAGGGATTCAAGAATGCTTAATGTATACACCTGAATAATTAAACATTTTTAAAATGAAATAATTTATTTCGCAGAATAAGGCATGGAACTGGTTGTCACCTGAAGGAAGACAGGGTTGTTTCGAGGCCCTGCCCGAGCTGACCCAAGGCCCAAGCAGTCTCCCTGAAGCTTCCTTGGGCTGAGCGAACCCAGTTATGCCCACCCGTAAGGCTCTGCGTGGATGTGGGGATGGCGGTGCATACACCGGCATCGCTGCTCCCTTCACAACAGGTGAGCCTAAGTCAAAAACAAAGAAAGCATCCCTCATCCATCCCAAAGCAAAGCACGCAAAGGGCTGGACACTCAAGGTTTGGTGACCCCGCCCCCCAACTGCGCTTCCGGATCCGCGCGCCCCGCCCCCTTGCCGGCCCGAGATACCTGAAGGAATAGCTCATAAAGAATCTCTTCCCGCACTCGAGCCTCTAAATTCCCCACAAACACCGTCCTGTCCGCCTCCTCCTGAGCCGGAAACATGCCTTCGGCTTCTGCCTAAGGATGGAGTATGGGCTATGACTCCGCCCGGTTTTGCTGCACCTCCAGGGCCTGGGAGGCGGGGCCCGTGCCCGAACGCTAGCGTACGGGGCAGGGCCTATCATGTGGGCCACACCCACTGCGCCTGGGCCCGCCCACCGCTCCGCTGCTGTGCCCTGGCCCTGGAGAGGGAGGAAGAGGAAAAGGTGGGTGAGAGATGAGCTTTTCTATTTCCCTGCTTCTTCCGGAAGGAAAATGATAATATATTTTAGTTTGGTTAGAGAAAATTTAAAGTAAGTTGAGCATAAAAGTGATTTACCCTCTTCCTTTGACCAGGTGGTAGATATAACTGTTGTTGTTGCAAAGTGCCATCAAGTCATAGATGACTCATAGCCAACACTGTGAACTAAAGACCTGAACATTTGTGTAGCTTTCATTGTTTCTGCAAGTTCATAGGGTTTCCTAAGGCAAGATATTTCGGAGGTGGATGCCACTTCTGCTTCCAAGTTTGTTTTAATCGGGGAGCGCCACCAAACACTGTCAACCATGTTGTTGTTGTTGTTGTTGTTATGTGCCATCGAGTCGCTTGCAACTCATAGCGACCCTATGTACAAGAGCTGTAAATGCTGTGCTATCCTGTGCCAACCTAGCTATCTCAAACGCACTTATTCCCACCGCTGAAGTCACAGAATCGATCCATCTCACCAAAGGTCTTCCTCTCCTTCGCCTCCCCTCCACTCTGCCAAACATGATGTCCCTCTCCAAGGACCAGGCCCTCCTTGCAACATGACCAAAATATGTCAGACGAAGCTTCAGAATCCTTGACTCCAGGGAACACTCTGGCTTCACCCTCTCCAGGACAAACCTGTTTGTTCTCCTAGCAGTCCATGGTATATTCAACACTCTTCTCCAGCACCACAGCTCAAAGTCATCAATTACCTATCAACTCTATTCACTGTCCAACTCTCCGATGCATAGCACATAATTGCGAAGACTATAGCCTGGATCAGGCGCACCTTAGTCTCCAGCCTGACATCGTTGCTCTTCTGTACTCTTGAGAGGTCCCTCACAGCCGACTTTCCCAATGCAATTCGTGTCCTGATTTCCTGGCTGCTGTTACCAAGAGTGTTGACTGTGGAGCCAAGTAAATTAAAACTGTTGACTATCTCAATCTCTTCACCATCCATGCTGACGCTGCCAATTGTCCCAGTGGTGAGAATCTTTGTTTTCTTGATGTTGAGCTTCAGTCCATATAGGAGGCTGCAGTTCTTGATCTTCTGCAGCAAGCGCCTCAGGTCCTCCTCAGTTTCAGCAAGCAGGGTTGTTTTATCTGCATAACGCAGGTTGTTGATGATTCTTCCACCAATCCTGATGCCACATTCCTCTTCATATAGCCCAGCGTCTCGGATGATCTGTTCTGCATACAGATTGAAAAGTTATGGAGACAGAGTACATCCCTGACTAACCCCCTTCTTGATTTTGAACCATGTAGTGTCTCCTTGCTCTGTTCTGATGACTGCCTCTTGGTCCAAGTATAAGTTTTGCATTAGCACAATCAAATGTTCTGGGATTCCCATTCTTCTTAGAGTCAGCCACAGCTTGTTGTGATCCACAGTCAAAAGCCTTTGCATAGTCAATGAAGCACAGATAGACATTCTTCTGGTATTCTTTGCTTTCTGCTGATCCATCTGACATTAACTATAATATCCCTAGTACCATGACCTCTTCTAAATCCAGCCTGCACATCTGGCAGTTTTCTGTTGACATATTGTTCCAAACGTTTTTGGATAATTTTCAGCATGGGTAACCATTATCACATTTGACACATCAGTCAGTCAGTGTCACAGTGTTTAGCATCACAGCAATCACGCGTTACCTCTCTACAGCAAATGGACAGACCTGTGCTTTGCCACTTAGAAGAATGTTTGACCAAAAACAATTAAAACCAAGCAGAGTAGAAGTTTAAATTGTCATTAAATCTAGACTTTCTGAAGTCCTAGAGATTTAATGAATACCTGAATGATCATTTGACCTCAATTTTTCACCTTAAACCAAAAATATCCCCAGATCTCTTCATTACACTAAATAATATTGTTGTTGTTGTAGTGACCCGATGTACAGCCGCTCTGAACCCTCCCTGTACTTTTGACACACCAGCCCCTCACTGCACCAGTCACTTTATTAATCTATCTCGTTTGGGTCTTTCTCTCCTGTGCTGGCCCTCCACCCTTCTGAGCATGAAGTCCTTATACAACGGCTACCAACAGTTTAGCTTAATTAAACTAGTTCTCTTTAATATAAAGATGTTTGACTTGAGCAGTGTTCTTATATTTTTACCTTTATCTTCATTTTTTAAAAATTTTTATCCATTTTAATGAACATTTACAGAGATTTTGGATTTCCATTCATTCATTGTTGCACTTTTCTCCCTGCCCACCTGTCCACCTTGCTCTTCTCTTTGAGAAGTAAAAGAAGATGTCGTTCAGTGTTTTAAACAACTATCTATATGGAATTAAGACGATAATAATTCAAAAGACGAGAATATAAATTTAAGGGACATGGTATATGTTGATAGAGAAGGAACAAGTTGAGAATAGAAAGGTTTCACAACTTGAGGAATGCACTGACCTTTTAATTTAGTAGCCTTTTGGTGCCCTAAAATAGAGTTTCTTAGAGATAAGACATACCAACTGTATTATAGGAGGTCTCTGGTCTATGTAGGTCTATTACTTTGTTTGTTTGTTGTGTTGTTACCTACTTCAGAGTAAGAACCTACACATAGCTGACTCTCAATCAAGTTTTCAAAGGCAATAAATCCCAGGGGATAAATATATTTCCGTCCTCCTGAGGCACAGCTGGTGAATTTGAACTGCATGCCATGAGGTAACAGTACAACTCCCTACCACTAGGCTTTCAGAGCTCCTTTACAAGGAGTGTATGAGTAGAATCAAAATAATATAAAATAAATGATCTTAAAATAATTTCTCAAAGAAAATGTGTGCATGTGACTACAACAGATTTCTTGAATTACATTTTATTTAGAAACAGTTCTCTCAGGAAGTTGGACAGTATGGCTACAGAGATGTTGGTTGAATTCCAGAAGGCATTTGAGCATGAGCAACAGTGACAAGGACTACTACCGATGTGAAGCTGGAAGGTAGAAGCCTTGTGTGGTGATACTGTGTTCGATGGAGTCAATTCTGACTCACAATAGTTTATGTGACAAAAAATGTGGAATTGGCGCATAACATTCTTCAGGATGTTATCTTTATAGGAGTAAATTACTAGGTTTTTTCTCATGAGGAAAGTAGCTGCTAGTGTGTTCCAATTTCTGACCTTTCTGCTTAATTAAATGTGTAACTGTTGTGTTTCTGTGATTCCTTGGAGGAAGATTGCAGGGTTCAGTGTAGGATTTTGTGTCCTTTAAATTCTAGATATATCAGATATATATCCCTGCAATGCAGCTTCTTACCACAAAGCCACCAGACTCCATACTGATGGCACATAACAAAAATAACAATGAATAGAATAGGAGGGGAACCCCCAAAACACACAACCAGCCAGAAAAAACAAAATAAACTCACTGCCCATCAAGCCAAGTCTGACCCATTGGAACCCTTATCAGGTTCCTGGAATCATGAATTTTTATAGGAGATGACTGTCCGTCTTTTTTCCAGGCAGTGGCTGATGTACTTAAACTATAGACCTTTGTGTCAGCCACCCAACTCTGCAATGGGCTGTGCAACTGGAACTGCTTCGCTAAAAGGAGACAAACTCTAATAATAAACTCAATACTTCTATAGACCAGCTTTTAAAATATGTTCTCTTTTCCCTTTCATTCCTTCCTTTCCTATCTCCTTTGCTTTCTCTTTCCTTTCTTCTTCTCTTTCCATTACTGTTTTTCACTTTAATTATTCTTCCTGAGATATATATATATATATAAAACTTTCACTATTCATAAAAGAGAACTGTGATAGTATAGTCCATAAGGAGTTGTAATGCTAACCCAGAGACAGGACAGTGTTTCTCTGGTGCTTCAGATCCACCAGTAGCTCCATCAGAGAAAATTAGCAAGCTTCTCCCATGTGATTTACAGCCTTAGACAACCTTCTGGAGGGCTAACAATGAGTTGACTCTGATACAGCTGCATTAAGTTACAATATTGCATATATAGAGAGAGCATTATACTGTGGTTTATCTCAATGAATGCCATAGTTTATTTGTTTCCCACTCTCCCCAGTCCAATACATCTCTACCTGACTGGGCCATTATTCCAAGTGATTTGGAAGTTATTTATTGATATTTACTATGATTTGATCTGATATCATCAGCCAGTTCCTTGCAAGGTTGGGAATGCTCTCACATCATAAACCTGATCTGATGTAAGAGGAGTTTCACTGGAATGTGACCTACATCTTCTTTTATTTTAACAGAGATAAAATGAGAGAAAATCAAGCACAGAAGGTAGTATCTCAATGCCATGAAATAAAGGAGAGTTCGGGACAGAGAACCTCTAAGGGGCCTACACTAAGAAAATCCTAGGCACAGGGAAGATTGATGACTAGGAGAAAAGCATCCTTTGGAGCTGACAACCTAAATTCAGACTTCTAGCCCCTTAAACAACAAAAGGACACATTTTTGCTCATATAAGCCTTGTGCTTCTGTAATTTCTGTTATAGCAGCACTGTCTTATGTGCTATATCAAGTTGGAACCAACCCATAGCTGACCCTCCAGTGGATTTTCAGAGGTTAAAAAATCATAGGGAAGATTACCAACTTTCTCCCATGTGCCTTTGGGTTGGCAGCACAACTCTTTACGATTAGGCCCTCAGAACTCCCCTTAGCAGCACTTGCTGTTGAACTTTCAGTTGGAACTGACTTATACTTGACCCTCCATTGGGTTTCCAAAGCAGCAGTAGATAACTAAAACAGAATTTGGTACCAAGAATGGGGTGATGCTCTAACAGGTAAGCTAACTGTGGAAGTGGTTTTGGAATTAAGTA